GGAGAGAGAGAGAGAGAGAGAGAGAGAGAGAGAGAGAGAGAGAAGTAGAGAGTTAATACAGTTGTCCTTTACGGAAGTTCTCTATAATACATTGATAATTGAAACAAAAAAGTATCGACGGCTTTTTCTGTCTCCACGTGTGGACAGAATAAACTATCTATCAAACATAACAAGCTCGCTGCAAAACGTAATTTGATGTGATGACTAAAGTTTCTTTGCATCTTGAAGGTAGGGAAATATGCGTGAAAAAGTGTGAGAAGTGTGATCGTTCGATCAAGTTATTTCAAGTGAAGTGAAACGTCTTCAGGCGAATGTAAATCTGTTACGGGACGCAATTATGCCATGCACGAGCAGTACAAGCGAGTACACAAACGTGTGATATGTGACGGACTGATATGAAGAAACAGGTGTGGCAGCGGGAAATGAACATGAGTCATGCGTGGAAGAATCTTCTTCGTCGGTAATTAAAGTCAATTCACTCACTTGTCCCTCGGACGACAAATTCTCTGCGCTGGCGCTCAGAGACATTCTAACCCGCTCGTCGACGTCTTCTTTTCAGGATCGGGGGGATAGATCCAATATTCAAAGGCCGTTAGAACGAGACGGCTGTGTATTCCTATTGATTCGCAAAGCGATGGTGATTGTTCCTCGCAGCATGATCCTCGGGTGCCTCAATTGGGAATCAGCTCATAGTCGCGTTGTCTCCTCAGCATACCCCTGTGATCCTTTCTCTCACAGAGCCTTCCTGCAACACGGAGCGACTCCGTAGCGCGTCCAAACAAATGGCGCCGTTGGTGTTCTCTCGGGCGCTGGTCGCCAGCCAATGAGAACTTAGGTTTTGGAGCTATTGGCACAGTCTTCCTTCTAGTTCAGGACAAGAATTCAGAGTGTTTCGTGCAAACAAAGGAATACATTCAAATGATGATATAATGCTCATAAAATAAAAATAATATTTGAACGCGAAGAAAAATGTGGAGCTGAAAGCATCGTAGTTTGAATATGGAAGTATATTTTCATACATGCTTTTCTTCGACCCTATATTACTCGAAGACCCTCTTTCATTCAATAATAGTGCCTTAGCATCTCACAGAGTGCGCTCTCAACAGTCGGATTTTAGAAGAAAACATGTTATCTGATATCTCATAATCTATAATTTAAGGTAAAAGAACTGCTGCGAACTATAATGATGCTTCACAACAAAATTCAGAGAAATGAAGTAATAATAACAGAAAAATACATGTTATATGGAAAACGGAGGTGATATTTAATATGATGATTAATTAAACTATTACAAGAGTTTGAGATTAGAAGAAAGTAATGCCTGTATTTATAGTCAGACCTTATATTTAAGGCTTTCTTAAGTTCATCTTCAGATGCTCTATAGCCAATAAAATTATCCGTAGAGCATCTGAAGATGAACTTAAGGAGGCCTTAAATATAATATCCATCATGATGGATTAAATATAAGGCCTGACTATTGGTCTGTTCTTTTTAGAGTAATCGCTGTTCGCTGAAATTTTTTAGCTTTTAGCGAATATTCGCTAAGATAATCACTGTTGACATCTCAACATCTATAAATTCTCTAATGTAATAATGCTTAAATATGTCTGCTCCAACTATAAATATTAAATTTTCAAATTGATTTGCAGATATGCGTATATAATTATGAAATCTTAAAACTTCTAGAAGAAGTTTAGGTAGCATAGAATGAAAAAATAGATGCCCTATTCTATCTTGAAAAATAAGTACTACCCAATGTTTCTTTCTCGAATATCTTCTTTTCTTACGTAAAAGTATAGCCATAACTGCAGCTGCTTTCCTTTTCCGGATATTTTCATAATAATTCATTATTTGCACATAATTTAATAATGTTAGTTACACCAAGTAATCAAATAAATAATTAAATTTTCTTCCATGTTATTAACACGCAATATATGATGCTCATAAGCTATTCGCGACAAATTATTCGCTACTCGCTACAAATTAACCCTTTGGGGACGGAGCCGCTCGACGGGCTATAAGGAAGATAAGACTTCATCGCTAATGGCCCCTAATGTCTTTGAATGAAAACGTGACTCTTTTACTATACCTATGCGTATCTTATCGCTCAGAACGACAGACGTCGCGAGCCTTGCAGCTACGAACTAATTTGGGCGGCTATATGCCGACACGCGTCCGGAACGGTAAAACGGCTTGGGCGGCTATATGCCGACACTCGTCCCCAAAGGGTTAATCGCAGCGAAAAATTCGCTGCATGAAAAGGCACCCTAAATCATAAGTTGATTGGTGCGTTTCTAAAGATGGATGGAAATGCACCAATCAAAACAGAATATTTCCATCCAGTAAGCAATCCAGCACTAGAGACCCTAGAAGAGACTGGCCAAGGTTCTAGTTGGATAGAAAATGGTGAACATAATTTTTAGCTCCCACACACAGATGCGTCAAACGTTGCCACCAGGGCCAGAGCAGTTTAAAGACCATCTCACACAAAATACATAACTGCATATGCACATATAGGCTGCATTTGGGGAAACGCTATTTAGCTATGAGTTTGTTCTATGAAAGTTTGTTCTTGTTTGTTCCTGAAAGTTGAACAAGGATAGAGAATGCTCATAGCGCTAAACAGCGTCTCCCCAAACGCAGCCATGGAAAATACGATAAGAATATTATGTGGTGATATTGAAGGAGACCCTTCCTCCTCATTGATGTGGCTAAAACTTAGTAATATTATATAATTAGATGCGTAGAAAAGGAATATGAAAGTAAAAAATGTCATTCGTTAATCGTAATAAAGTTATGATGCGGTAAAAGATGACAGGTTTCGAGGTTATACAATCTGTCATGTCGACAGCGTATAGGTATATGCATCTTAGAGCATATATACATGGAGGGGGAATACTGGCACGAAAGTGTGTCCAAAATATGTGCGAGAGAGAAAGCTATACGTTCATATTCGTCTTCTGTGCGCATGCGTTGAAGTTAATAGGTTAGGTTATAAAGTTGACAGGAGATAAAAGTTATTTAAGAGAAAGAAAATAAGAACTTAATAACAATGATATCAATTAAATAATAGGAAAAAGGGCTAATTCGAGTTCAAGCACAGGATTAATAATGTTATGTACCATATGGGTAAAACCTTCCTTGTGTTAGGAAACAGAGCAATATTTATTGAACATGAATACTCAATATAAATAATCAAACGTTTCGGCTCAATCATGAACCCTCTTCAGTGATATAAAAACTCAAGATTTACAAAACGAACGCATTACAGGTAAAAGAATTAATTAAAGACTTTAATAAAATGACATGAATGTTATTCGCAGTATTATAACTGACAAGACCGTTACCCGACTAATATTAAGAAGTTCAAATTATTACTAGGAAGTAGCCGTCATAACTATAAAAAAACTATAATAACGTTGTCTATAAATTGCAGTGCAGTAGTTGTGAGGCGTCGTATGTTGGTCAAACTAGTAGAAGACTCTCTATGCGCATTGCTGAGCATAGGAGAATATCAAAGAGTTCTACAGTTGAGTTAACGGCCATACAGGAACACCGTTTGAGAAAAAACCATGATTTCAATTGGAATCAAGCCAAAGTTTTGCATGAGGACGTTATTACTTGAAACGTCTGATATCGGAAATGATTTATATTAAATTTCAAAA